TCAAAGTGCACACAGTAAGAACCTCAAGTTTAGGTAAGTTTAAACAAAATTTAATAAATAATAAAAAAGTTATTAGCAACATTCAAAAACAGCAATTTTGTTGTTCATTTTGTAATAACTTTTTTGTTTATCAGCCGATTTTAATTTAGCATATCTATTTTATGTATCTTTTTTCTTAAAAATTGTCTGTTGGCATCAAATCTCTAAATAGACAAGTTTTTAGTTTAAATTAAATAATGAGTTTGACGTTTTGATAATTTATTTAAAAATAGTTCCACTAAAAAATTGATGAATCCCTAGATGAGAGTCTTTTTTAATATATCATACTACACATTTCAACCGTTAAACCTATACAGTTGTGTCGAGTAAAAACCTAATTGGTCTAATGAAGTTATCATCAAAGCGCTATTCCAAACAGCAGTAGATAAAATAAAGATCATTTAAGTAGATGTCGATGTTTCAAGGCACGACCTATATCAGTGCCCATATTCCTATTGGATGTGTTATTTGCTGTTTTCAACTTAATCATATTTTTACACTTATGGAAGTAAAAATAAATAAAACAAATAATTAAAAATAAATACATAAGAGTAGGGGAGAAGAATAGCAAACAATCAATATTCAGGAGACAATGAAATTAAAAGACTATCCCTAAAACATTTATCCTTTTACCCCTGTTTTAAGCTATACACATACAACAAATATAAACCCTTTATAGTAAATAATTACGCAACCATACGCTTCCATACGCAACCAAACAATAATTATTCCGCAATAAAACGTTGATTAATGATCTCTACCTCCAACTTTACAATGCGATACACTTACTATTGTTCTAAACCTGTATATCAGTAGAGTATAACAGTTAATTATCTATTATGAGAAAAATAAATGGTAATCATATTTAAGATGTTGAACGGAAAATGTTGAAGATTGTGTAATTGTTGCTGGGGACAAAGCCAACGGTTATATCTAGATTCTTCTTTGAATATAAAGTCGACGTGGAAAATGTACTTAAAAGAAAATGAAAACTTTTCAGTAAAAAAAAGCTATTTCAGGAAAATTTTTAATAAACAATATAACTTTGGTTTTGGTTCTAATAGAACCAAGGTATGTTCGACATGCTTACAATTTACTGAGAAAATAAAAGCGTGCTATGAGAATGACATGATAGTCAACTTAATCATCCAAAAAAGGGTACATACGTTGAGGTCTAAAGCATTTTATACCCTTTTAAAAGAAGGGAATGAAGGTGTAGAAACGTTTTCTTTTGACTGTCAGAAAAATTAAGTTTTGCCTAAGATTCCGGATTAACAGGCGTATTATTTACTTCAATTTTATATGTACAATTTTACCGTTGTCAGAGGAACTTCCAAAAGTAATTTAAATCCATCTAATGTCACTTCTTTCTGTTGGACTGAAAACGAGTACAAGAAGGGTTCGAACGAGGTTGCATTTATTAAATTCTTGAATCGGGTAATTTTGGAGACGATATTTATACTATCAGGCTCATGTGTGATAGATGCGGAGGCCAAAACAAAAACACGACACTCAGATCTATGTGTTGTTATTCGTTTTCTAGACAAGATAAAATTAGAAAGAAATTGAAGTAATATTCCCAGTGACAGGACATGCTTTCATGCCTCTAAACCGGTTTTTTGGGAATATCGAAAAGGATGTTAAAACAAATGTAGATAATTTTAAAACCACATGAATATCTGGAGATATTTTTAAAGTATAGTACTGTTCATTGGGTTGGAGAATTAGTCGAAATATATGACTGGAAAAATGAAACAAGTACATTAAGGCTCCAAGATAATGGCATTTTGCTTTCTCAAAAATGAAGAGGATTATTTTAACTAAAAGCTCTCAAGGCACAGCATTAGTCCGCGGTGAGCTACCTTATAAGACGGATGTTGGTGTGGGAAAATCAATAACAAAAAAAACTAAGAAGATTAAAAGAATGAAACCTGCCAAAATTCCGCAACATAATGTCGGGGTCAATAACAAAAAAAAGGTTGATGTTAATAATTTATTATGTTGTTATTTTGGAGAGGACTGGAAAAGTGATCCCCGTTTAAGTTTTTACAAATTCATCATCGAAAACAATCGAAAAGACAATGCAGAACCAGAAAATGAAACTGTCGACGATGAAACGTTCTGTGAGAACGTCGAAGAAGATGATGGACTTTCCATATAATTAACTATTTTTGAATAATTAAATGTGTATTATCTCAATAAAATAAATAAGTTTAATAAATGATGTTCGTAATTATTTTCAGTATGGACAAACTCCATTAGTTTTGTTAGTTCTTGTATTTAACTTAGTAAACACCAGTCTATTATCGCGCTTTCCAGATTGTTTGCTATCAACAGCCATACATAGATGTATGTATAGACGTATGTATTGGTCCGGTATAAATATGTCATTAAAGTTAACATATCCTTTTTATAAGCCCGAATTCAGAACAATTTACTGCAAATTTATTACTGTAGCCATTTCCAAGAAACGATGGTTATGCTAACTTTATGGTAAAGCTAGCATAGCCATAAAGGACAAATTTTAATGGCATATTTATTGTTAATTAATTGCTGTTGATTGGTATATTGGCTATCTCAAAACACTACCACATCATCCTCTAGCGCAAAACTCACCCCTGGAAAAATCGCGATATCGGCCAAAAACCATGAAACTAGAAAAGTGAACCGCAAGGAATTAATTGCTAATTTATTGCTGAAGTTTTACGCCAAGAAACAAGTTCTTGCTGCAACCGTTTCAGAGAAACAATTTTATGTTAACTTTACGGTAAAGCTACGTAGCCATAGCTATATCTCAGCAATGAAAAGGACTACTGGACCTATCTTAGCGGCATATTGTATTGCTAATTAATGATTGATTGGTACATTGACCAACCCCCAAAAACTACCTCATCATTCCTTAGCGCAAAGTCATCCACGGGAACATTGAAGTATCGGCCAAAAACGCTAAAACTTGAACGTTCACAAGCTTATCAAAAATTAGTCCCTAAAAACAAATCCGCAAGCAACCACGGGCCGCGTTGGTTAAGATTTTGTTATTGTTAAATTAGGTATATTCAAATAATTTTTCCAAACAAATTTCAAAAAAAAACTTTTTCGCCCGGGCAAGAGTCATTCTGAACTAAACATTTATAAAGATTTATAAACAAATTAGAATATTTTTTAAACGTCATTTTCGAAAAAGAAATGAAATTTTGATTTCTTGATTCATCATGAAAATAAAGAATCAAAACGGATAAAATGAGCTATTATAAAGATCTATATTATGTCGTCAACCACCACGATGTCAACCACCATATGTACCAACTTTTTTAAATAACAATTTCAATTACTTAACTCTTCTTTTTTTAGGAAAATGTTGACGACTCCACACATTTAGAAACAATACAAAACATAATTTATATAAATTATCGAATATTGAATTTCATCCAAATAATATTTTGGTTTTTTAAAAACTATTTTAAATATATCAGCTATAATGGAGTTATTGACATTATATGTAATGATAAAACCTATTTTCAACTAAATAATGAATTCTATAAACAAAATTTCTGCGTTATTTTTCATTTTTCTCATTGCTCATTCGAACTAACTGGACAAGCCAACGAATTTTATGAAATGTAACAAACTTTACTATTTATCGAAATACCGTATACTATATCGTGTTAAATTAACTTTTCAAGCTCAAAGTTCATATTAGGTCGGATTCAGTATTCCCATATTGCTCAAGGGTAGACCTAAAAATTTTCCTGAGCACTTTCCTTTCAAAACTGCCAACTGGAAAATCCAAGCAAGGGACATAGCAGAATGGCACAGAAAGCTTATGAAGGTCGAGGCACTTTAAGGGCTGTAGCACCGTAATCTTTTCAGGACATCTTCGTCTTTCTCCAGCAAGATCCATGTTTCAGATCCATAAGTCACAACGGGTCTTTTTATTGTTCTGTAAAAAGTTTTTTATTCAAGTAATGTGCCCTGTTTCCTTTGTGTACTCTATTCTTTATTTCTGCACTTACTACTTTTACTGTTTACTTTCGGTTACTAGGGAACCTACGTACGTAAACTCTTCTATATTTTCAAATCTGTAGAGACCTGTTTGGCAGAAGTTTCTATTGTTTCGTCTTGTTCTTGCGGTAAACATATATTTGGTTTTATCCTGATTTATCTTCAATCGTACATCGCCCGACGCTTTTTCATGACGTTATTCGCATATGCAGCTATTTGTTTGCACTTGCTTAAAAAGAGTCCGCAAATATTAACTTTGGAAATTGCTGCATGTATCAAGAGATTAAACTTAGTTCTTTTACACCTTTGTTTTATACACATATCAAAGATATCCAAATTAGAATATTGTGGACGTACACTGCGTAATAAAAAATACCAAGGCTAAAATTGATCGCAAAAAGGCACCAGGTCGATGCAAAGATTCTTGGCTGAAGACTTGAGGTAATGATATAGAACCAGCACATATTTTCAGAAACAATAATAGCACAATATATTATCACTACAAAAATTTTCAGAAAGGCGCTGATCATTGTCAACGTTTCATAGGCACACTGAACGACAAAACATACCTTATAAATATTACAAATAACCCATAGAAACACTTTGAGTTAAAATTGATTTCATGTAATGAACTTACAATCTCAATTAAAGTTGTCCCAAGAATGCACCTCAAAAATACTGATAATACCATTAAATTCTACTATTTTAAAATGTAGGTACCTAATTGTCCATTATAAGTGATGTAGATAGAGACAAATTAGAAGTAAAATTTATTTTTGTTTTTTAACGTAAGTCAAATAATTTGTAAAACTTTTTTTTGAAAATGACTTCCGATCTAGAGGACGAAACGTCAAAGAATTTCTAAATTTGTCATTACTATAGTTTATTCGTAAATAGTTAATAAAAAACTTGGAAAAAATAGTTTCAATACAATAATAGTAAAATTGAATAGTACTCACCTTTCTAGAGCTAGGCTCATGTCAAACGTCATCATACGCCCTGAGTCCACATGGAATACGTGCAGCATTTTGAACTGGTTTTGCTTTCAATTTTATGCAAATATAATTTTTCTAGGCATACCTAAAAAGTAGCATTTCATCATCACACATCACTTCATTCAAAAACACAATAAACTTTTTATAGATAAAAATATGATTTATCTAAACACTAATACACACACGTAATTATTTATCCAACCTTTAACAAACATTCTAAACATATTAAAAAATAATATTCATTAACATCACCTCGAAAAATTGTGTACAATGTTCTGGCAGATAAGGAGATGCTTTATCTAAATACTAATCCACTATTATTTTTATAGAGATTCGAAATTGATTTAAGTGACGTAGTTTAGCTATAGTTGTAGACCATTTTTCAATGAAAGTACTCAAAACTCCTCCAACATAATTTTTTGAAATTTATTTAACAGTATTTCCAATTTAAAGACATTATTGGCTTATATTAGAAAAGGCCTGTCAAATTTAAATTAAAGTCAAATTTAAGTAAAAGTAAAGTCAAAAATTAGAAAATTCAGAAAGCAATGAATTATAGTTTTATTCAGATTCGCATATATTATAGGAAAAAAGCTAATCTGATTGCAATATGGTTAACATAATGTTATATGGTACTTTAAAAATGTATTAATTTTTATCTAGAAAATATGGCCTGACCAAGAAAAAACCAAGTATATGGAAATGAGGGGAAAATGCAGAAGAAAATAAATGGATCAATCTAAGAACGAACGAGACAGAGTATGAATCTGAGAAGGTAACAGAATTTGACTACCTTGGCGTAACGGTTACAAATAGAGGAGGCGAAGAGAGAAAAATAGGTAAGCAGTTGTTTAAAGGCAGCAAAGCAGTAGGATCATTAAACACACTATTGAGGGCAAAACACGTGTCCAGTGCAGCCAAGATTCGAACTTGTGTAACAATAGTGAGACAAACAATAATATATCCATGTGAAATTTCGACAATGAATCAACAAGAAAAAAAAAGTTATGAGATTTGGGAGAGGAAAATCCTGATTTTCCAAGTTTCCAAGATTTTCCAAGATCCAAGTTTTTGGTGAACAAACCAGGAGCAAAAGAACAAACCAGGAGCTAATGGAGATTTATAATAGACCCAAAATAACGCAGCAAAGCAAAGCACAGAAAGAAATATCCTAAGAGTCCTGCAAGCAGAAGAACAAGATAAAAAAAGAACAGGGAGACCACGAAGAAAGTGGTTGGAAGGAAGAAATGGGAACAAGAGACTGGAAAGTACAAGTAAAGGCCCTTATAAAGTGGAAAAAACTAGTTAGGACTATCCAAGCCAAGGGCCTCTAGGGCCTGTAGTGCTAATATATATTTATTTTTAGAAATAAGGTTTCTGAAATCCTATTTGAGGATATAAAGTATGTTTTATCAAGCTTCATACACATGTTACTACCTTATAGATTTAAGTCATTAAGAATACGTTTAGTTCATATCTACTTATAAATATGGTCACAAATATATATCTTCTCCATCACATGTGTTCAATGTTATATTTGGACTAGTATTTTATTATTTCTGTCTCGAATGCATCTAACCTAATACAAGACAAAAGATTTTACTCAGGTTGAAGGTATTTAGAAACACTACTAGAAATTACTAACGAGGAATTTCAAAATGACTTAAAACAGATGAAAAATGAAAAAGCCCCTGGAGACGACCGAATAACAAAAGAGATGATTACAGCTGGAGATTAAACTGCTTTAGAGGCAGTTAAAATTTTAAAGAACGAGTGTCTCTTTGGGGGTGCTGTTCCAACCTCGTGGCAAAATGTGCAGGTACTTTTACTATGCAAGAAAAGAAGACAAACACAAACTCGACAATTACAGAGCACATTCAGAGCCTGTTACCACATTCGTACAAACTGCTTACCAAAATAATTACCAACCGACTACCAAATAAGTTCGATAGTTACCAGCTGTTGAACAAGCGGGATTTAGCAAACGTTATAGTACCATAGAACAATTAGAGACAATATGGATACTTATCGAATAGTGTAACGAATACAATGAACCTCTTCCTTTGGAATTTGTGGATTACAATAAGGCATTCGATTCCATAGAAATCTGGGCCGTATTAAAAGGAACGAATTACGCAAGGATTGATTCCAGATATAGAATACTCCTAAAATACATATACGACAAAGCAACTGTGCAAATAAACGTAGCAGAAAGTCTAACAACAAGCAAAATAAGATCAGAAAAAGGAATTAGAGTCTCCCTATCTATCTATCCAAAATAATTTATTCTTGCATTAAATGTTCAAGACGTTAAATTGGAAACAACGCGGAATTAAAATCGATGGCAGATTTTTAAGTCATCAAGATTTGCCGATGAGTAACATAAGTAACAATACACAAGAACTACTTACTCTAAGTGCCAAAGGAGCTTAAACAAGATGTGCGAAAATCGGTTTAAAAATAAATAAAACAAAAGTGACGTCAAATCAAAATATCACAATAGACGATGGAATACGATCGAAAATATCGACGAATATACGTAGGTCACACGATTAAACTGAGCAAACAGAATTAAACGGCAGAAATACCTAGAAGAATTCAAATGACTTGAACAGCAGTAGAAAGACTCAGTGTTGTCTTGAAAAACAAAAATATTGTATTAAATTTAAAGAAAAGGGTAACGACAGTTGTATTATGCCAGTAATAAATAACCTATGGAATGAAGATCGTGACACTTTAGAGTTATCACTCAACCGATTAACAACAACACAGAGAATCATCGAACGATCTATGTTAGGAGTTTCTTTGAGAGAACATATACGAAATGAGAACGTGCGACCCAGGACGAAGTTGGAAGATGTAATTGGAAAAATTGCGAAAATGAAATGAGCAGGGTAAGACATGTGGCACGACAAAACAACGAAATTTGGACGAAAAACATTGTACATTGGGAGACGACGCGAGCATAGTCGTAGTAGGGGAAGACCGCTAAAACGGTGACTAGACGATATCCAAGCCAAAGTGGGGAGAAACTGGCACCAAACAGCACAAAACAGAGGAGAGTAATGAACTCATTGGGAGGCTTCTGTCTAGGAGTGGATGTAAAGAGGCTGAATAAAACGAAGAAGACGTATTTGAGACGAAAATAATTAAATATAAGTTCACAAAAAAAAAATACCAAAAAGGAATGTATAAATACTTTTCACGGTTTATTTAACGAAGAATTTGGTCAGCACGGAGAAGAAGTATATTATTGACCGTTTACAGATACAAAGTTACAGCATGAAAATATGGGAGAGAGTAATTGATAAATGTTTACGTGAAGAAACCAAAACTATCAGAAAAGCAGTTTAAATTTATATATTTTTAATATAAGGCAGCTGATGGAAAAATACAGGAATACAGAAACAACGCTCAGGTTATGTGGTTATGTCTCAATAAGAAATGAGTCCCCGGTGAGTACTATGGGACGATTGTAAGATTAGTATGAGGGAGGGGTGGTAGGATGCGTGTATGAGATACTGATAATTTTATGTGAAAGTAGGTTTCATCAGGACTCAGTCCTCAATTATTCCTTAATAGCCCTTATTAGTATTGGATCAGATAACAGGGTAACCAGCCCTTGTTGATAATGTAGTGATAATAGGAAATACTGTAAGGGATTTAAAGCAAAGTCTGGACAAGCTCTTGAACAAAAAGGTTGAAAACATATTAGGACAAAAACAGAGTATCTAAAACGTACAATTAAAGATTTAGTTACTGCTATAAATAAGATGATAACTTTGGATGACGATATTATTGTGAAAATTTATACTTACTTTTAAGTATCTTGAATCGGTATTACAGAGTAATGGCGGAAAAACTGCCAAAAGATCAGTTATGATATACGGAACGAATGTTGGGCAGTAAAAAAGGAAAGAAAAACATGTAGAGGAAAAAAATGGATAATCATCATAGCCTTGAACTCGTATGGGGGTGTAATTATCATATTTTTTTAAGGTGAATTATTGCTCTTTATTCATTATAATCTGTTATGTGTTTCCGTGACTGTGGAGATCTGTTTCCATTTTTTTCGGTCGCTGCATAGAGCTTTCTAATATATAACCTTCATGGCTCTTACTTCCTCTTCCACGTGGTCTATCCATCTTTTTCTCGATCTTTCTCTTCTTCTAGACCATAGTGGAGTTCAATCCGTTATTCCTCGCAGCATGTCTTGATGTGATCTTAAATGAGTCTAGTCCATTCTAGACGGAGTGATTTTATATACCTGACTGTTTTCTCCCTTTAGTTCGTTTTCTATTTCCACGTTCGTTTTAAGTCTTTTCTAACCTTCTCTTATTACATTGGGGCCTAGTATTGTTCTCATCTCTTTTTTATTTATCTTTGTTGTTTTCACAGCATACATACAGAACAACTGGTCTAATTAAGGTTCTGTACAAATTAATTTTTGTGTTTTTGTTTAATTTTTTGTTTCTCGGTAAATTTGTATTGATGCCGTATGACTGATCTCCCTTTAAAATTATTTCTTCTAATCTGCCCCTACCAGTATTTCTAATGATCGTCATATGCTTTGTTTTATTTTCATGTATCTCCAAACCTATTATTTTTGCTTTCTTTTTCAATTTTTCGAATGCTTCGATTAGTGCAGTCCTTGTGTTTTTTTTAATATTTTTATTATCCATTTTTGCCTTCCTAAATATTTCTTCTAGGATTGGGTTGAACAGTGTCGGGGAAATAGCATCTCCTTGCTTTACCTTTGTTTATTTTAATTTCTTCAGAAATTATTCCGTTGAATCTAACCTTCGCGGTGTTGTTTTTATACGTCACTTCCTTAGTATTATTGAATCCCCTAGTTGCCTTAATTCTTCCATCACTTTTTAAAGTAATATTATATAGAAGGCACTTTTGAAGTCTATAAAAACCACGTGTATTTCTCGATTATATTCTCTTGGTTTTTATTTTGTATTTGCTCTATTCGATGTATGGGGTTGATTGTCGATTTACTTGGTCTAAACCATTCGGATTATCTTCCAAGATTTTTTTGCATGTGTTTTAGTCTAGTGTTTAATATATTCGATAAGATCT